TGTCCCCAAGGTGTCACTTGTAGAACTCGTGCTCCTGCTCGTCCTTCTTGATGACGGTCTTGTACGCCTTCTCAAAGTCCTTGGCCAGCACGATGTACCTGTTCTCCCTGACGGCCAGCATGCCACCCTGGGGACACGGGGACAGTGTCACCTGTGTCACCCCAGTGTCACCTGTGTCACCTGTGCCATCCCCCAGGGTCACCTGTGTCACCTGCACTGAGCTACGGCCACACCTGTGTCACCTGAGTGTCACCTGAGTGTCACCTGTGCCATCCCCCAGGGTCACCTGTGTCACCTGCACTGAGCTACGGCCAAACCTGTGTCACCTGAGTGTCACCTGTGTCACCTGAGTGTCACCTGTGCCATCCCCAGGGTCACCTGTGTCACCTGCACTGAGCTATGGCCACACCTGTGTCACCTGTGTCACCTGTACCTGTTCTCCCTGACGGCCAGCATGCCACCCTGGGGACACGGGGACAGTGTCACCTGTGTCACCTGTGTCACCTGAGTGTCACCTGTGCCATCCCCAGGGTCACCTGTGTCACCTGCACTGAGCTATGGCCACACCTGTGTCACCTGAGTGTCACCTGTACCTGTTCTCCCTGAGGGCCAGCATGCCACCCTGGGGACACGGGGACAGTGTCACCTGTGTCACCTGGGACACCTGAGTGTCACCTGTGCCATCCCCAGGGTCACCTGTGCCACCTCAGTGCCACCTCAGTGTCACCTGTGCCACCTCAGTGTCACCTGGGTGTCACCTGTGCCACCTCAGTGCCACCTGTGACATCCCCAGGGTCACCTGTGTCACCTCAGTGTCACCTGTGCCACCTCAGTGTCACCTGGGTGTCACCTGTGCCACCTGNGTGTCACCTGTGCCACCTCAGTGTCACCTGTGCCACCTCAGTGTCACCTGGGTGTCACCTGTGTCACCTCAGTGTCACCTGTGCCACCTCAGTGTCACCTGTGTCACCCCCCGGGGTCACCTGAGTGTCACCTGTGTCACCTCCATTGTCACCCCAGTGCCACCCATGTCACCTGCCCCAGGTGTGCCCAGGCCCCAAAACTTCCCTCAAAATCCCCAAATTTTCATCAAATTTCCGCCGATTTTCACCCAATTTTCACCGATTTTCCCCAAATTTCCCCCGTTTTTCCACCCCCAGGTGTGCCCAGGTGTGCCCAGGTGTGCCCAGGTGTGCCAGGTGTGCCCTCACCTCCTGGCAGATGGAGTTGATGTCGGCCCCCGAAATCTTGTCCGGCCGTGCCACGTCTGGGGTGGGGTCAAGGGAACGGCCCAGGTGTGCCCAGGTGTGCCCAGACCCCACCCAGGTGTGCCCAGGTGTGCCCCAAACCACCCCAGGTGTGCCCAGGTGTGCCC